CGGCTGCCTGGCCGGCTGGAGGCATCAGCCCTTCCGCTGGAGCGTGGCGGTGGGGCCGGCTGGGCGTGGATCCAGCCGCCGGGTGACTCGCCTGGGCTCTGTGTCCCCACAGAGCTTCGCCGAGGAGACCCTGCGCACCTTGTGCCTGGCGTGCAAGGAGGTGGCGGAGGAGGACTACGCCGAGTGGTGCAAGAAGCACCATGAGGCCAGCGTCCTGTTGGAGAACCGCGCCCAAGAGCTGGACAAGGTGTATGAGGAGATAGAGCAGGATCTCCAGGTGAGAGGGGGCTCGCCGGGGCAGGGAAGCCCTGGAGGGAGGCGGGAGGCAGGGTCTAGGGCCAGTGAGCCTCCCTTGGGCCGTGTCCAGACTCAGGGGTTTTTTTGGGAAAAGTAGCCTTTTCCCGAAAAAACTTCCCCTGCGTCCAGACTCAAGCCGCGTTCTTTCGAAATAATTTCGAGGAAGAACGCCTTCTTTTGAAAGTTCCTCTTTCGAAAGAAGGCGTTCTTCAATGTAAAGAGGCCGTCTTCGAAAGAGAGCATCCAGACTCGCTGGGTGCTCTCTTTCGAAAAAGCGGATTTCTCTTTCGAAAGATCCGCCTGCAGTCTAGACGCCATCTTTTGAAAGAGCCTCTTTCGGAAGAAGCCTGCAGTCTAGACATAGCCTTGGTGTTGATGGGGCCAGCACAGAGCTTGGGTGCAAAGGCCTCCCCTGCTCGGTGCAGGGTCACGGGGGGCCAGTGTCCTGGCTGGTGGGTGTGGCATGGGCTCTGCCCCCGGCACTGGGCTGAGAATCCTCCAGCTCCTCTCCTGGGGGCGGGTAGACCAGGACGCAGGCCCCCCCCGGGACCCTGGGTCCCCTGCGCCTCCTGCCCCAGCTGGCTCCAAACCCTCCGGCCTTCCTCTTTCTCCAGCTCCTGGGCGCCACGGCCATTGAGGATAAGCTGCAAGACGGGGTCCCGGAGACCATCCAGCTGCTCAAACAGGGGAACATTAAAGTGTGGGTGCTGACTGGAGATAAACAAGGCTCCGAGCCAGCCTGGCCCCCTCTGTCCTTGCGGGGGGCGGATCCCCCCCTCGAAGGGCCCCCGGCTGAGGTTCTTCTGCTCTGCTGGTCTCGTCTGGGGGCA